TTAAAAAAAAAATCTAAGCAGAAAACATCTAGGAAATCTGGCATGGTATGAAAAGACAAAAACAAACAAACAAACAAACAAACAGATAAACAAACAGGATATTAAGATAGAGAAAGAAGCAACCTAGAAAAGAAACAGAAAATATTTTAAAAATACTTTAAAATCATAAAAGAAAAAATATCCCTGGTTGAAAGAAAAGATTAAAGGATGCCTATCAAGGTGCAATAGGCATACAAAACACCAAATAGGCAGGTCCAGATAAGAAACTCTCCATGACACATCATAATCAAGACAGTTGAGCTATAGAACAAGGAAAGGATAGTAAAAGCTTCAAAGGAAAATGACCAAGTCACATATCCAGGCAGTCCCATAGAATAATAAAGAATAATGTGTGGCTTTTCAATGGAGAGTCTGAAAGCTGGAAGAGTTTAAGAAGAAGTTCTACACTCATAAAGGAATCACTGATACCAGCCACGACTACTATATACCCAGTAAAACTATCAGTCACAATTGATGGAGGAAGACAACAACAGAACAGCAACAACAGTAACAAAAAAATCAACAACAACAAAAACAACAACAACAACAAAAAACCAACTCACCAACCAACCAACCAAACAAACAAACAAACAAACAAAAACTTAAGCAAACTCTTCCCACCAATCTGTCTCTACAGAAGGTTCTACAAGGAAAACTTAAAGTCTGAAGAGAAGGTTAATTATATCCAAGAGGATTCAAAAAATAAATAACCCAGAACAGCTCATCAAATAGGGAAAAACTGCACACCTGAATAACACAATAAAAACAATTAATAACTCCCAGTATTGATGGTCTCAATTTCCCAATTAAAAAACACATAGACACAAATTTTATTAGAAAATAAGATCTATCTTCCTGCTGCATCCAAGAAACACACCTTACAGACACTATTTTAAGGTAAAAGAATGGAAGGTATTTTAAGGTAAAAAGAATGGTATTCAAACAAAGAAAACCAAAAGGCAAAATAAGCATAGATATTTAGAACTAATCAAAACCAAAACTAATCAGAAGAGATAGGGAAGGACATTACATTTTGTTGATTTGGGGAGACGTAGTAGTTTAGTTATAATTAAGATCTAAGAGCCTTTATTATGAAATGAAGTTCACAAAACCAACCATACCCATGGTGAGATTCTATGAGCCCTGATGCCTGGTAAGAACTTTGTGCCTGGGGAGAGCTAGAAAACCACATATCCAGATTGTCTTGGGCTAATTCCAATTCCTTTGAAAGCCTTCCTGCTCACTCCTGTGTCTCACCTAACACCTTTTGGATCCTGTTAAACCTAAGAATTTATTAGTAGATTACTAGCTTTCCACAGCTAATTATGATATCAGGTAGTCTCTGAGACCCATAGCAGTCATTTACCCAACTTGATGTAAGCTACACGTGAGCAGGATTCATTAGTGCATTTGGCAAATGCCTTTATGTGTGTGTGTGTGTGTGTGTGTGTGTGTGTGTGTGTGTGTATGTATGTATATATATACATATATATATGTATATATGTATTTGTTCTGTTATAAAAAATATTATGTAATCACTACCACAATAGAATGTATCTTTCTGAAGGACTTACATTTATGTTTCTAGGTACGGTCATTCATTCTTTCTGAAGGACTTATGTTTTGAGGTATAGTCATACTTATTTTGTGTCAAGAGTAAAATATCACTTACTGTCCTTGAGGTCAGAGCAGTTTTGGGTTGGTATTATCTTTAAGAAGTAATGTGGAGATATTTAAAGTTGGATTGCTATGTTTCTGATGAGCTTTAGAGTGTTGTGATGGAAAGAAGCTGGAATTCTAGAAGAGACTGTTACACATGTTAGCATTCTTTCAATGCAATGGTCTCATTAGAGTTAGATATTGAAATATTACCAACTTTAATCCAAGCCCTGAAAAACATTAGACCATACTGCCTTAAACTTTAATGTTGAATCTCTGAAATGAACTCTATGATTGCCTAATTTAATTTTCATTCACATGTTAAATCTATTTATAGAACAGTTATAAAATTCATATTGAAAGTTATTTTATGAACAATCACTTGATAAAGAAGTCACAATAAAGTCCAATGTCAGTGAATTAGATTCTTGCTTTTATTAATACAATGTGCGATAGAGTTAAAATCCATAGAGTAGCTAATTTTGTAGCAGAGTAAAATCTTTAGACAACTAATTAATTAACCTCAATTTACATAATGGGCTACTTATTTGCATAGCTAATGGACTAGGAATTGATTACAGGCCATTAACAGTTATTAATAAGTGGAACAATGTTGGAAATGCATGTGTCTTCATTTTAAACAGAAGGCAAAGGTTAGTCATGAAATGTTAATAGCAATATTCAAATAAGCAAGCAGTGAACAAAAGCACATATGCCTTTGGGCTTCATGCATTTCTGAGATGTAATTCATGAGTTTGTTAGCAGGTCTCATCACTACATACCCACTAGAGCATACGGAAGCATATATGTGGGCATTGCAAAAACTTCTACTACACATACACTACAGGAAAGGGAATAACCTGTATTATATTTACATCGAGAACTTATCATCTTTCTATTCTGAAAATCATAGATAGACCTTGGAAATGCAAGATCCTGTACTTTGAGCACGCAGTAATTTTTTTCTTTTAAAACTATTAGTTTCAATGAAAAGTGATAATCAAGCATTTACAAATAACTTTTCCCACTTGTTGTGTTTACAAATTACATAGTACCTTTCTCTCAGAACATTTTGTCTGTATTTTAGCCAATAAATTTTATAATACTATTCTTTTCTAGCATTTTTATCTATTTGTTTTGCCAAACAAGTTTATATAGTCTAAAGATTCTTCTACCTTTCTCCAAATATGTAAATGCTTACAACTTACTAATTTTTTTTATTACATTCATTTAACTCCTTGTGTATGTACATGTGAGGGTTTTGTCATGCCATTGAGGCATCATAGGACAACTTGCTGAAATCTTTTCAACCATGGGTCCCGAGGATTGATACCTATTGCCCTTCCCTGCTAAACCACCTCACTGACTCCTTTCAGGATTTTAAAACCTGAAGGAAGAGACCGGGGAGATGGCTCAGTGAATAAGAACATTGCTGCTCTTGTAGGAGACCCAGTTCTAGTTCCCAGACCCCACACTGTGGATCACAGCCACACCTCGTTCAAATCCCAGAGGCTTTGACACCTTCTTGCTTCTCCATGAACATGGTATCACATACAGGCATGCAGGGAGACACCAATACACATAAACAATTTTAAAATGTTTAAAACCTGGGGGAAGTGGTCTACTATTTTGAGACAATTTAAATATGCCAGTAAAGTGTTATCTTTGAGGAGAGTTGAATACTTTTAATTTTAAATGCATTATGTGACCTGGATTTTCAAATGACTTAGATGTATCTTTAGGAGCAACTGTATAGACACCCACACCAGTTTGGTAAGTAAAGTTGGTGATAAACAAAACTCTTCTATGGTGTCAGTCAGTGTCACGAGACCCAACGAACCAATGAGCTTGCAGAGCATGTCTCCCATTTTTCTCACCCTGGGGCCTTCCTCAGCACTAATCACAAACTCTGTCTGTCTGTCTGTCTGTCTGTCTGTCTGTCTGTCTGTCTCTGTCTCTCTCTCTGTCTCTCTCTGCCTCTCTCTCTCTCTCTCTCTCTGTCTCTCTGTCTCTCTCTGTCTCTCTGTCTCTGTCTTTCTGTCTCTCTCTCTGTCTGTCTCTCAGGCTAACATTTCCTCCATCTTTTTCCCTTTCTCCTTTCTAGAGATGTTGACGAATGTCATGCTCCACACTATGATGTTGAAATATTGTCTCAAGGTAAAAGGTGAATGTCTTAGATCAGGGGTTCTCAACCTTACTAATGTTCTAACCCATTTAAGACAGTTCCTCATGGTGTGGTGACCTTCAGCCATAAAATTATTTTCCTTGCTACTTCATAACTGTAAGTTTGCTACTGTTATAAACCATAACGTAAATATCTGATTTGCAGGATATCTGCTATACTGCCCGTTTAAAAGCCTCATCCAATCTCCAAAGGGGTCTCTGCTCACAGGTTGAGAACCACTGTTTTAGACACTTTAATGCCCAACAGGATGCATACAAAGCTTTATTGCTTTAATGGAGAAAAGCATTACATGTGAGGATTTATTGTAATTCTGGTAACATCTCTCAGCATCTCTGTCAGTCCTTTCTGCAAACAGACTTCAGCTGACTCTTCCACAGGAATGATGGTGCTCTGACAGGTCAAAGAAACATTTCAGCGTCACCATGTCAGCTGCGTCGTATTTTTAATGTGATGACTGCCACCCCATAGCATCACTGAAACTAATTTTTAAAAGTGGGACCGTCATTTTATCATCACATAGAAATGCATGAACCTTAAATGGGATGCTACATGAAAATTATGATTATTGTTAATTACTAACTTAGAAAATATACTTTTAGTTTGCTCCTCTCTCTCTCTCTCTCTCTCTCTCTCATTCATTCATACATTGGTCATACACATGCATCCATATGTATGTGCCACCCAGAGGACAACCTTCAGGAGTTGATTCTTTTCTTCCACCACGAGGGGATCAAACCAGGATCCCGGGATCAAATCCAGGTCTAGATCAAACTTTTCCCTTGGTTCTCATGTAGGCACTGTTTAATATCCATCCATCCATTGCAGCATTGTTAGCCATATACACAGGCTTTCAAAGAGAGATGCAAAAGTTTACTGATGAAATTGTGCAAGTGAAGATAGCAGTAACAGTATTTCATGCATCATCTACAAACAGTATGCTATTGCCTCATCCCCGGTTGTGCTATGTAATCTGCTAAGATGGATGGGTATTCCTCTTCAGCAACCTACGAGGTTCCCATAGTCTCAAGGGATATCTTCATTTTATAATATGTATTTTATTCTCAAGACGGCAAAAACACCATGAAATCCTGTCAAACGCTTAAGCAATGTAACTTACTTTTTGAAGGGACTCGGAGATTGGCGAGGACCACTTCCAGAGAATCTGCTTGTACCCGGAGCACATAGCTGGTCCTTGTCTCATAATCCAATGGCGAATTCACGTAGATGACACCAGTGACATTGTTGATCCCAAACTTATCTGGAATCCAGCAAACAACTCATTAGTTTCTTCACATGGTAAGGAGCTATTCTCTTTAAAAGCTATTATGCTTTCAAAGGCACTACAAACATCCAGAAGAATAGTCAAGCTTAAAAGGTGATAGGATTCCAGCATCTGGAAACATTTTTACTGATACTGGAATTATCAAGACGCGTCCCCTGAATGGTGTTTAGTAGTTTTGACTGTGTTATTTGAGACTCTGCTGGGTGCAGGTGCTTAGCTGGTGATCTTCCTGCCACTGTGGTGTTAGACAGTCCTATTTTAGAAAAGATCTTCTTTCACATTGCGTTTCGTTTAGCTGGGTATTTGGGTTTTACTCTCTACTACACATGTCTAATCCTGTAGTTTTGGTGCTTGGCTAAGAACATTGAAGATCATGTTGGTAATTTAGCTTCTAGGTTACTTTTACAAAATGCTTTATTATTATGAGCATTTGGAAGTACTTTGCCCCTGTTTCTCCATTTTTAAAGCGGATATGTAAGAATTTTAAACGGAAAGAAAGGCACATGTTTATTTGTATGCTATCACACCTCTTCCTTCCCCCACATCCTCCTTCAGCTTCTCTGGAGCAGTGATGACCATTACTTGAAATATTCTACATTCATGCCTAACAGTTATCGCCCACATGCAGGCTTAACAGTTACTGTTCATCCGTTGATGGTCTGTTGAATTCTAAGATCGTAAAGAATATGCTTGTTTCTTTCCTCCACATTCCTAGTACCTGGAAAAGTCGTTATCACATAACCAACATTCATTTGCTGAATGAGTCAATGAAGAAAGTATATGGAATGGTCACTGTGGTGGAAGCAGTTGATAAACACAGGCTTGTTGCTACCTATAAGCCTATGGACAGGGCAAGCATAAGAGGAGGTTGAGAAGTAACAGGTTTTTTTTAGATTTGAAAGCATTGATGAAGGAGGTTCCACTGCATTCAGAAAGGAGGTGCAGCAGTGGAGGAAAAGCAAAGAGATAAAATAGCCAGTCAGTGAGTGCTTCCCAGAGGGGCAGCCTAGAATTCTAGTGAGAGGTGGTCATGGAATCACTCCAGACAGTCTCAGGACTGTTATTTCAGACTGCCAAGTAGCATCCAAGTTCGCCTTAAGTTAAATACTCAAAACAGACTAATATATTAAATATTAATTAGACATTCTCAGCCACCCATAATATCCCAGGCTGCCCAGGGTCTCAGAAGAGAAAGCAGAGGACAGAAGCTGAAATGCAGAAGCAGAGAGCGGGGAATGTTATTGCCCCTAGAATCCAGCAAATGACTACCATTAGAAAAGCAGTTGGGAGACAAAACTCAAAATTCCTGTTAGTCGATTTGGCTGTTTGGGCCATTGTATTATATAACCTGTCTGTCAATACTGGCAAATCTCTTTTGTCGTTTTTACTTAGGTAAGATCCTAAAGCTTCCTTGGGATTGGTCTGATGTGAGGTAAGGCTTGTTGCACACAGAGGGGAAAGGAGAGTCTAGAAAATAGTTATCTCTTGCAGCTGATAGAACAACTCATTCATTTTGAAGAAATGTCAAAAATATACCACCAACACAGGGAAGATAAAAGCGTCTATAATTGAATATTAATCATCCATCGGGGCACACAATGACTTTAACTAATACAAGTGGGCTATTAATCAAGTCATCAATTACGTCGAAGATGGTAAGAGTTGCATTAGGATAGAGGAAAAGATAGTTCAATCAAAAATTCATCTGATTCTACATTTATCGGTTTTTGGAGAAAACAAAGGCAAATTCGCTACCTACCTTCTTCATTTCCTGCCACAATGGAGTACACGATGCTCTGATTGATGGCGGCAGCAGAAATGACACCAACTACCGTCCCTCTGGCAGCAAGCTCACTTACAGGAGGAGGTCTGCAGGGTTAAAAAGGGTTTTCATTTCCTTCCTATGTTTGCTTCTTTTTTCCTTCATTTTCTTTCCCTCTTCTTTCCTTCCTTTCTTCCTTCTTTTGTTCATCCCTTCCTTATTTCTGTCCCTCTCTCCCTCCCTCCCTTCATTCTTCCCACCATCCCTCCATTCCACCTTCCCTTCCTCCTTTCCTTCCTTCCTTTTCTTTCTTCTTTCCTTCCTTTCTTCCTTCCTTCTTTCCTTCCTCTCTTTTTTCCTTCTTTCCTTCTTTTCTTCTGTCCTTATTTCTCTCCTTCCCTTCCTCCCTCCATCCCTTCCTCCCTGTCTTCCTCCTTTCCTTCCCCCACTCCTTTCCTTCCCTCTCTGCCTTCCTTCCTCTCTCCTTCCATCCCTCTCTCCCTCCATTCCTCCCTCCCTCCATTCTTTTCTCCCTCTCTTCCTCTCTTCCTCCCTCCCTCCCTCCCTCCCTCCCTCCCTCCCTCCCTCCCTTCCTTTCCTTCTTTCCCATCTGTTTCAATACAACATTTATTTTTAAGAGTGAAATTGGAAATACACAGCAATCTACCCCAAAATCCACTGACAAACAGTAATACTTTTATAAATTTTAGAACACTCTCTTCCAGTCTTTTCAATTCCTAAAGCGTTCCATGCAAATTATCTCATAGCCGGCTCGTTATTGGTTGTGTTAATAGGATTCTACTTCAGTGGTTTTCGAAAGCTGGATGTTACAGATAAGAGTTCTATTTCTAACATTTGGAATGTTTTGATCAAGTGTGATTTGTATATGTGAGCCAATTTAAGACGTGTTGATCCCCTGTAATCAATGTTTCTTGACATTGTATGTTTTTGGGGGGCATTTCTTGCATAGTATGTGTGTATGTATGTATAAGTACTCATAGGTACATGGGTACATGCGTGAACACATAGGTATGAATGTTCCTGTGTAAGTACATTCACATGCAGGTGTGTATGCATGTATGCATGAGTTTTTATGTGTGCGTAGTAAAATTCATGCGTGTATGAGTGTTCACATGTGTGGGGGGCATGCATACACGTGGACTTGTCTTCTTCTATCACTATTCACTTTCTTTTTTTGAGAGAGTAACTGAAACTAGACAGACCAATTTGGGTAGACTAACCACTCAGGGGACTGTTCTCTCTACATTCCCAGCAATGGGATTATAGACATATACTGCCACACCCAGCTTTTACATGGCTGCTGAGGCTCCTATCTCATTTTCCTAAGACTAGTTTTCAAAGCTTGTTCCAAGTTCATATGAAAACTGAGAGGGAGCTAAAGCATCTCTCTATACCTTCTACTGCTCCTAATGTATGGTTTCCCCAACTCACAGAAGTGATGCCACCACAATTTATGGGTAGGCACTGAAAAGATACGGTCACCTTAGTTCTGGTGTTGGATATTCTATGGTGCTGGGCAAATATTCAAGTACAAGACTCATGTGATTTATCTTCATGATCTAGCTCTTCCTCCTCCAAAATGATCTTTGACAATCACCCATCTTCTCACTGTGCCTACTGCCTTTTATGCCCAGAAGCTCACTTTGTTAGAATCACATGTGTTGTTTTTCAGACTGGCAGGTTTGATATAGCAAATATGTCCCTACTTATCCATGACTTTATGCTTGACACCCCCTTTCCTATAATCTTCACTGTCTACAGTTTATTTTCAGAAATAAAGACTCTCAGGTGTGTATAAGCTTTGGTCACTATGAATTATGCTACTGTGAGTATTCTCATTCAGACTTTTGTGCGTCATACATAGTTAACTCATTTGGCAGCAGGGTTCATGGACCATGTGGCAAGAGTAGGTTCAATTTTAAAGAAACTACTGGATTTGTTTCTCACATTTCCTTCAACAGGACAGAAGTCCTTACAGCCTTGAATCCTTGCAAACATTAGAAATTTTGACCTACTAGATATGTAGTATTTATTTATTTATTTGTCATTTAAATGTCAGCTTAAAATTTAATAATGTAATATATATCTTATTGCAGATATGTTTATTTGAGTAATACGATCATCTGGCAGTTTCAAGAAAAGGTTAGGCTAAAAAGTCCAGCATTAGCAAATTATGTTCAGCATTGTGGAAGTTCCCTTAAAATATCATACCACCTACATTATTAAAACAAACACAATATTATCTTATTATAGGCTATGCACTGTGTCTTCTGGACTGAAATCATTAAATAGGTAGAGCCAATTTGCTAGCCCAAATTGCAGAAATGAAATGAAGCTCTTGATCGTTCAGACTTAAGGATACAGGCTCTGCATGGTTTCTAGCCCTTCTACACATTATATATACTGTGCAGCTCTGAGCTGTGACTTGGTAAGTGACTGGAACCCATAACAAAAGTCACATTTACCTTTAATTCACATATTTCATTTAACTTCATGATTTATGCTCCCACTGTTTGTCTGTTGCTTTATTTTCGAACTCATACTTCTGTGGTTATGCTACTCTTTACCGTAACTAGACTACACTAACATTAACTTCACGTACTTGTGCAGTGCCATATAGTTCATGATTCGCTCCACCCTCTAGCCTCACTGTGTCTGACACTGTTAAACACCAATGGCAACTGGAATGTGAATGTGTTACTGCTTCCGATATATAAGAATGTCCTATGGCCATTTATCCCATGTGCACTTGTTTTTACAGCATTTGTCCTTTTTGTAGCATCCTTCATTTTCTCTTCATATCCTTAGGTATTATATTGAGCAATTATGTCATTCTTTTCTTGATGCATCCCTATATCACATTATGAACTATAAAAATAGTCTGGGGCATTGATATATATCCCTTGATGTCTGTCTGTCTCTCTCTCTCTCTCTCTCTCTCTCTCTCTCTCTCTCTCCTTGATTTTATATACATACATACATATATATATATGTGTGTGTGTGTGTATTCCTTGATGAATATTTCTCCCCAATTGCTCAGTTCTTATGCATGATTACCATGTAATTCTAAAAGGATCTAAGTGACACTTTGGTGCTTAATGTTTGCCTCTGTGATCACTTCACATTCAACTATTGGCCAAAGATAAGAGCCATGTATATGATTTTGATAGAAAGCATGAAGCAGATATTTATTTCATTTTAATTCACTTATTTAATTTACTCCTATCCATCGCTCCAATTTCTTCTGTGCTTGGTTCAGTACTGGTTCCTTTCCAGCCATCTAAAAGTCTAGCTAGAGCTGCCTTGCCACTGAGGATGGATGAATAAACATATCATTCTTCTCTGGCCAACTGGGATATGACTCAGAGCTCAGTGCTCCTGTATGATACACAATAGGAAAGGCCAACGGAATTCCTATCCAGGAATTCTGCTATAACTATTAGAAAAATAAAGTACTACTTGTTTTCTAGAGTTTTAATAAAGGAAATCTGAGACAAAATTTCTGATAGTATCAACAAAAATGTAAACAGACTCTCTACGTTTGAATTATATTATAGATGCAGATATGCCTGTCCTATCAAGCACATTTCACTTATTGGAACAGTGAATTTTATGATATAACTCTCTTATCTGGGATCTTATTAATCTCATTTATTAATTTTAATGCTGTTATATTAGAAAAAGGAACACATACTTAGTTGATATTTCTAAAGCAAAATACTACCAAAAATATATCCCATAAATAATAGACACGTTGTCACAGTATTGGTTCAGGGGAATAGAAATTTCCTGACCTTCAAATGACACAAATATACTATTTAAACCAGAACAGCACACTTCTAAACAAAGTTCTAAGCTTGGATTTGCTCTTTAATAACTTTGATAAACCTGTATTTAATCTCATAAAAGAAAATAAAGACACTTGTTTCAGTTCTCTGGCTTAATGAGTGACCATCTAGAATTGAACATGGACAGGACTAAAAGGAGATATACATACACAGACAAACACACACTGAGAGAGAGAGGCAGGTGGGGAGAGAGTGAACAGGGACAGACAGACAAAGACATACAGATAGAATCTTAACATGATTGTCAACTGTCTCCTCCTGGCATTCCTCCTCTTGTGCACTCCTCTCCTTCTGCATGAGGGTCATGCACCATTAATTCCTTACTAGAACAACATGTCAGTCACCTCAGAGATTGAGCAACATAACAGGAAACATAACTCCATGCAGTAGATACTCTTGACTATACCCTTTGCTGGATAGAATGACATCATGGAGTAGAATATATGGCAGGAAGTTGAGGGTTATAGCTTCACTACAGCCAATAGAACTTATTGACAATATCCCTCCTTGGACTGAATGATCTACCAGATACTGCAGGGAGTTCTTAATATGACAAAAGTCCAAAAGTGATGTTTAAATACCAGCCTGCAATGAACCTAAGCCCCAGGATCTAAGACCTCCAAATCTTAGCATGAGTCCTTGAGCTCTGAAGTGTATCCAAGCTCACATGTACACTGGGGATTTATGTGAGCCTCAGAAGAGACTCTATCCCTAGTTAACACTTGTACTAAACATTGTGAGAGGTCATAGGACAGACCATAAATAGTCCATATCTGGGTTCCTGACTGCTGAATTTTCCATATGTTAACACACTTTAAGTTCATTGTGGTGTGATTTTGGCAGTGGATATTCAAAGACCAGAACAGTGAGTTGTTTGTTTATGACATCACATCATGTGCTATTTTTATAAGTTGAATGTAAGAAAACATGTTAGTCATATGGTGGAATGAGTTTTCAAAACCAGAGACTTTTTTATAGAGGTTCATGGTGCTTAAATTGAGTTTTTAGCTTGTTGCTACTATACGCGGTAAGATAACTGCTATGCTTTAGTCAATGATCAGTTTGGTCATCTTTACAAGATATGTGCATATAAATCTCACATCTGGAATGAGTGTCCTGGCATTAATATCAGGAGTAGGATTCACATATGAAAGAAACATACTGTGTTCATTTTTGCTACTTTAACTGAATAATCAGGATAGAAGTAATTAATACATGAAAAAAATCAATGACATGAT